ACAAGTAACACTGACGAATCAGTATAGTGACGTGAGTCACACTGAAACGGAGTTGACCGCGCGTGTGTGGGGGGGGGGGGGGGGGGGGGGGGGGAAGGGGGGATGATAGGGTACGCGCGTCCTATCTGTACCTTCCCGTGATTCCTGAGACCCCACCCACACGCTTGGCATTTTTTCGCATGCACTGCACAGATATCAGGTGCGCGCCGCTGGAACCTATCACAGCAACAATACCACACACCTTGTACACATGATGCCCATTTCAGTCCCCTTCCCCATCTTTCCCTATGCTCCTCTCTCGAGCATGCGTTCACTAGGGGCAGAATGGGACTGAATGTAGAACAAAGGTTGACAAAAAAACTACAGTTGCGGAAATTGTGGGTAGCCCAGCGTGTTTTGTCTGGGAAACTCGAACATCTTGGTTTTGTCGTGGGCTAGTAACGCGCGGGCCGTTGGCTGTGAATGTCGACCACTGGGCGTATGGAGTGGCAGTGGGCGTGTTCAGAGTGGGCGGTTGAGTGAGCATTAGGGTGTACTGGGGTTTCAGCTATAGTTTTTTTTTTTTACACTGTTGGTTCAGTTTACTTATGATTTTTACACTGGCAAAATCAGTATAAAAAAAACAGTGAACGCTGATTTGGACACCTCATTGGCCGGGGCACGCTGATCCATCAGCATACCCTCAAACCAATATGAGGGCCTGGGTGGGGGCTTCGAGTTTGGTTTTTGAAGTCCCAAGTTGCACCGTGCTTGTTCACAAGTTTTCTATCAGCACACCATCAAGATTACTAATCATGCCCTCCGCGATCCGCAATTTGGGCCGTGAACTTAAACAGCATTTTTCATTTCTTCATTTCTTCCAATAGGTACATGCTACTGTCTGCCAAGAAAGCATCACGACACTAGTAGTGTATAATATGGATTACAGACACAAACCTCGAAGGCACCACCGTCATACATCTCCTCCAAAAACTACTGCTGAAGTATAAATTCATATTAGACATTCTAGAGAAGCATTGCTCAAAAGTGCACTCAACCACTGTAGTTAATTGTGTCTACTCCTATCAACCACATGTCTACTCAACATGTCCTCTGAAGACTACTTCCAGACAGACTGTCAAGCAAGCCAGTGGACTGGCATGAGTAGCAGCATGCCATACCATCCATGCCCACCCCGGCATGGACTGGCAGTGCACTGCACAGGCAGAGAGGAAGGTTGGGCCTTGAGCATTGCCAGGACCAAGACGTGCAGGTGCCCTACTAGGGACTGGCTCTGCCCACCCCCGCCCACACCACATGACATCGCTGCTGGCCAGACAGCTTTGTCATGTGGCGTGGGAGGAGGGGGACAGAACCAGTCCGGTTTGGCCCGGAATCGAATCCCCAACCAATGCTCAAGGCTTCAACCCCTCTCGTGCACTGCCTTCCACCTGCATGGTACAAGAGACAAATATTAGTCCAGGCTCTTTAAAAACACCAAGGATGCAGCATGCGTCAAAGCAAAATGATGAACACAACTAAATGAAAAAGATTCAGCGAATTGAGTCAGTGCAGAGTGAAGGGCAGATACTTATCTGAAGTTTAAAAGTTGGAGGTGTTGAAGCTCCATGACATGCTGGTTGAGCAACCTGCCACATAAAGTAAACATAAACCAAGTCAGTAAATCAAGTAGATTCAGAATCACACAGCAACAGAAAGCAAATAAGATGGGATTGGTGACTTATCTTCCAAGGTTGTTGAGCCTTGAGGTGCCTCAGCAGACCAGCTCCCATGGATCTTGATTCTTGTGCTTGCTGAAACGCGTTGTTGAAGCAACCTGCCAATTGAAGTCAGAAAATCCGAGTTAGAAAGGAAAAGTCAATGAAGGAAAACGAAACAACATGCAACAAGTGACTTCAAACGAGACTTACTGGTAGTGAAAAGAGAGGAGGCACCTGCCAGGTGCTGTTGGCAGGTACGTTCACCTCGCCTTGGAGCTTGGCACAAGGGCCATAACCTGCAAGGACAAGGGAACTACATTAGTAAACAGCAGTGAACAAATCAAGCAGAAACGGGCGGTGATGCAAGTGTGGTGCAAGTGTGCACTGCCTACAGAGCCAATACCAAAAAAAAGACCTTAGGGGGACCTTTACCCACCTCAACCTTTACCATCACCTTGACCTGAACCAAGGGGGGGGGCTCTGAGGAGTGTGCAGTGGGTGGCTGATACGTTCAACCTTCACCTGCCCTGGAGCTGCTCCTCTGTTGTACGCCACGGAGCAAGGATGGCCGCCAAACGTTGTTGTTCCTCTGGAGTCATCGCAGCAGACCCCCAGATAGAACCTGCAGGTATGGCAATAAAGACGAATTAGAAAAGGTCGGGCAGTAAAGAATGTAAAACGAAAAGAAGCGTGGAAAAAACAGAGCCAATACCAACCGAAAAACCTTCAAGGGGAACCTTACCAACCTCGACCTGTACCATACCTTGACCTGTACCTAACCTTAACCAGGGGGGGGCTCTGTGAAGTATGAAGGGTGGGTGATACTACAACCTTCTCCTCTGTTGGCCTTCATGAAGCATGGAAAGCCCCGACGGCCTTTGCTCCTCTTAAACATTCGGAAATACGCCTCGCAGCCTCCATTAGAACCTGCGAGTGTAGACAAAAACATGTAGTTAGTGTACGGAATTGAAGAAAACATGCAGAAAACGACTTTGCCAAGTGAAGAAACATGTGCTGCCCCACCACAGAGCCGATACAACCTGTACCGTAACCTTTACCAAACCTTAACCGGGGACCTTTACCTAACCTGTACAGAACCTTTACCAAACCTTAACCGGGGGGGAGGCTCTGTGGTGAGTGGTGGTGCAAGGTGATACGTTAAACTTTCACCAGGACGACTCGTGGGAGCTGCTCCTCTGCTCCTCCGGTCGATCGATGACACTTCAGCCACGTCGTAGCTGGCGTCGCGACGAGGCCGAGGACGCCTTGAAGAATGGAGAGCCACAAAAACCGCGTTGCTCCTCTAGAAGCTTCGGAAGTACGCCTTGCAGCCTCCAATAGCACCTGCAAGTATAAGAAGTAACATGGAGTCAGTAAACGGAAGTGAAGAAAGCAAAAGGAAATGAAGACTGTAAACGTGAAAGAAACACGTGCTGCCCCACCACAGAGCCAGTACCAACCAAACACCTTGGGAACCTTTACCGCACCTGTACCGAACCTGTACCAAACCTTTACCAGGGAGGAGGCTCTGTGGTGAGTGGTGGTGAAAGGTGATACTTTCAACCTTCACCGTAACAAGTCGGAGATATCGATGTCGCTGCAGCCACGTCGTAGCTAGCGTCGCGACGAGGTCGAGGAAATAACGCAGATCGACGTAGCTTCGCTACGTTGCAAAAACTCCCACGGTCGAGGTAATGAAGCTCCACGATCCCACCATACGATCCCGGCAAGACTGAATGGCGTCGACGTGAGAAGATGGTGAAGGGTCGAAACTGGTAGCGCGATCGAAAGCCAAGATCGATTAGAAAAAAGTGCAAGGAAGGCTACGGAAACCAATTGAGAATCACGAGAAGACGAGCCGGAATCCGAAGAGAGACTGAAGATGCCTGGAATGTCTAATTTCGGACCGTTGGGATGCGGTTGGAATCAGTCAGCGGTTGGAATCAGTGAGCGGATCGAATATCCGCTTTGCTGGCTTCGAAGGTGGTCCCAAACATGCCACCGTGGACTACGTGGACGATTGTGGATCATAACGAGTCGCCGACAACATGAAAATCAGCTCTAATTGGACCGCCAAATGAGCCCGAACGTTTGATTGGACCGCCAACGAAAACACTATCCAACCAGGATGTCCTCAATTTGGGACACGTATGCTGTTTCAACAGCCAGAAAAAAACGCGGGTATACACATGCCTTTTGAAGGTATAGTGACGTGGCCTATAAAACTTCCGCTCATTCAACCGCCGCGATCCGTATTCCGAAGCGTGCTGCTAAATTGAGCCGCTCTAGTGCTTAGGAGGCGGCTGGCAGAAGAGTTGGGAGGGAAGTCGAGATCTGTCTGGTTTGGTCTGACAGCAGCGGCGGTAGAGAGAAGGGATGGATTAGCTGTAAACCCATCATCTGCCAGAAGGGGAAGCTCGAGCCATGGTTTAGCGAATTGGCGAGCTCATAGGTAACTTCTGCTGTCGGCTGTTGCGAAGTGGTTGGAATCTGCAATGCGCGAAAGGTTTTCGTGAATGCATTGTGGCGACGGCGAAGTCATTCGTCGTTCTCTGAATGGTTGGATCTGGTGGATGGGGAACACGGAAGGATGTTGGATGCGGGAAGGAAGGTCAAATCTCTGGTTGAACACGGTTCGGAAATTATTTTCCGGTTTGCAAGGCAATCTCACATCACATCCCAAGCCTTGGTGTTTGTCCCCCTCGTTTTCCCGCCTGTAAGTGCGGTTCAGTAAGTGTTAACGTGGTAAATAGCGGTATATTCAGCTGACCACAGCACCGTAAAGCACCAGACAATACCGTTGCTCCGTGATCAAGAAACACCATTCCCAATCCCAGGGCACACTTCCGTTTTCCCGCGGGAAATTCCAATCCAATCAATGCAATTTCGAGGTCCGCATCCTGCTTCGCTCCCCACTCGCACTCTCAAATTCCTTACAATCTCTTCCGCCATGATCCCCACGGCTCTTCCACATCGTTCTTTTCAAGAACAAGCGCTTTCCCGTCTCTTCCCCTTCACTTCCTCCGTCGTTTCCTTCTCCGCCGCTGCACGCGTTCTGCTTTACTGCGTCAACGACCTCTCGCTTGCACACGCACACTTAGCGGCACGACAGACTCGTTGCTCGAGCACTTGGCTACTTTCTCGTTTCGATAAGAGTTCACGATCAAGCGATCAGACGGTGGCTTGTCGCATGGCGTCGCACGCGCGACCGGCGATTACAGCTAAAGCGACTGATGCGAAAGCGCTCGCTCGGCGAGCGCTACAGCTAGTGGCGACGGGAGCGAGAAGGAGGTGTGGGTGATGACGCAAGCAAAGGAGGTGGTGACGGCAGCACTGGAGGCGGGATGGGGGACGGTGGTGGTGGACGGCGCGGCGGAAGAAGGGGAGAGCGGAGCGGGGAAGAAGGGGAAGCGCAAGGGCGGGAAGGACGGGGAGGAGATGGTGGAGTGGGAGTGTGAGCTCAGTGAAAGAGACGCGTTAATTCTTTGAGAGTATGTGATGCGGCGGGTTCACATGCTGTGCGGTGCGCTGTGCCATTCTCGCACTGTAATTCCACTTCGTCCCATGCAGCCGCGTCGCTCTTAAGTCGACTTGAAACGTCATTCCGTCACGCAGCGTCACTCCCCGGCACCTCCAACCCACCTCCCGTTCCACCTCCCCACACCGCCCCGCGTCCTTCCCCTCCTCCCCCCTCCTCTCGCCCCCAGTCGCCACCCGTTGCCGCGCGGCAGAACTGGGTTGCGCGTGGTGACGCGGAGAGACGCGGCGGTGTACGGTGCGGGGGGGAGCGCGGCGGCGGACGCGGCGGTGTACGGTGCGGGGTTGGCGGCGTGGGTACGCGTGGCGAGCGCGGCGGAGCAGGAGGCGATGTGCGCGCTGGCGGGGCGGGAGGACGTTGTGGTCATGGACGCCGCGGACTGGAAGGTGCGCGCCGTGTGAGAGTGGGGGGAGAGGGAGAGGGAGAGGGAGAGGGAGAGCTGGGCCGTGGGGGTTGTGTGCCCTAGTGGGTTGCTGGGCCTTGCGGGGTGCTGGGCCGTGGGAAAGGCAGGGTGTGCTTAGTGGCGCGTGCGAGAGGGGGGTGTGGAAGGCAGAGTGCGGCATGACTCTTGCCAATGCAAGCACTGCAAATTCTGAAAAGGGGGATCGCATCGTGTGGATTGCATTTTTGTGGTTTCTATTCGCATTGATTGTCAGTTGATGGTGGATGATGAGAGAAGGAAGGTCTGTTCTTCATCCTTTCTTCCCCTCCCGCTCCACGTCCCCTTTCCCATCCCCCTCTCCCTTCTGCACCCTCTCCCTTCCTTCCACTCGCCCTCCCCCTCCTTTTCTCCCTCCTCTGCCACTCCGTGCGCCACCAGGTTGCAAGCGGGCATTATCAGCTCTCTCTTTCTCTCTCTCACTCGCTCGCTGTCTCCATCTCTCAGTCGGGCAGTCAACGCACGCAGCAGCGCCACCTCTATCGACCCTGTCACCGGCAGCCGAACCTCCCCGAGGGGCCTTCCTTGGCTCCTCTGCCGGTGCGCCGATGCCTCCTGTACCCCCCGCCGCCTCGTCCGCTGGTGCCATCCCCATGGAAGCCCCGCCTTTCCCGAGAGAGTGACACGCTGTGCGGGCTGTGCACACATACCGTATCCCTCCCTGGCGAACAATGAGATCCAGGAAAGCACCAGTTTACATGATGCTGTAACTTTGTCATGCCATTTTCTGTGAGTGTGGCTGCTTGTGTGTGCCGCATATTAATTTGACTTCTCACCTGCCTGGCCTTTCACGGTTCTGCATGTGGCGTGACTGGTTGGCTTGGCAGCTACAGAAACTACTCTCTGGGTTCCTGGTCTTACGCGTGGCTGCATTTGATTGGCCAGCAGCAGGCCCACTAGATTCTGATATACAACGGTATATAGCCTGTTTGTACCTACCTACCAGTGTTTTGACAAATATACATTTCGGTGCTACTGGCCTGCTATACAATTCTGTACACACTTTCAAACCTTTTTTAGTGAAGATGTACGTTCAACATGCATCTGTATATTATGCAATAGAAGTCACAAGCTTGGGCAGAGGGCCGACCAGTTGTGTGGGTGGATGAATCTGCGAGTAATTAGACCAGCTACGGTGGTACAGGCATGTCAAAGGCCCCTCACACAAGCCCACGTGGTTGCACAATCTTCATCGTGCCATGTGCAAATCCTAACCGGCCCACTCTACCTCATTGCTGATAGCATAGCACCCATGTAGGTAACAAGTCTTCCTGTCGCCAGCAAATCTGCAGCCGTGCAATGCAGTCAGTGACTCCAACCATCCACCCAAGCTATACCTGCCATCCAGAATCAACCACGATGCAATGTGCATGGACCTGCTGAGGTGATCATCTAGGGACCGATCTTGAGGCAAAGCTGTAGCGGGTAGTGCCGATGGTTTTGATTGGATTGAGTCGATCCTCTCCTGTCCGGGTGAGCATCAGGCCCCTAGATTCGTTTTGAGGTAGTCTGACGCCTCAGAGTACACCCCTCTTCCTAGTCTGGCTGTCAGAGTTACCTATTTTTTCTAGTCTGAAAATTCAGACAACACTACGTTTTTTACGCTGAACGTTCAGAGTTAAACACAATTTCTGTTTTGTCTTAAACTGAAACATAGAATAACGAGATTTACAGCTCTGACAAGGCGAATCTCTACTCTGACAAGGCGAATCTCTACCCTGACAAGGCAAATCTCTGCCTAGGCAGGGCGAATCTTCGCCCTGACAGAATCTTCACCCTGACAGGGCGAATTTTCGCACTTCGCTCTGTACAGGGCGAATCTCTTCGCTCTGTACAGGGCGAACCTTCGCACTTCACCCTAGGCAGGGCGAATCTCTTCGGACAATTCGAACTGCGATCTCATTTTCCCAGTGCGGGTTTGCAAATGCAATCTTTTCGGGCAGAACGACGCGGCTGCCCGTGTTTAGGGTTGGGGCTCCCCGTGTTTAGGGTTGGGGCTCCCCTAATCGCATGCCACCCATTAGGGGTTTATTTTTTTCTGACCGCGGGCAGATTACGACTCATCAGCTTCTTCCAGGCGGACTGTTAGGGATCGCATTTGCGAACCGCGCTGGCTTAATTAGATTGCAGATGAAGTTGTCCCGAATCTCTTCCTTGACAGGGCGGATTTTTGCCCTGACAGGTTGACTCTTCAGTGTGATAGAGGGCAAAAGTGGTGTGACAGGGCAAGCGTGTGCCCGATGGGCCCATCTGACGCATCAGGGGGGTTCAAAACCTAGCGAGGACCCTGCTCGGGAGTTTGCGGTGCCGCGCTCGGGAAATTTTGGTTTCCCGCCCGTGATTGATGGTGAGTGCTACACGCCACCAGGCTGGCGGAAACCGCTGTATTACGGGTTTCAGGGGGCACCCCCGATACAAGTATGAGGCTCAGCCTACACTAATAAAATTAGGCTGAAATTTCAGACAACTCATAAAGCAAAACTCTGAAAAATCAGACAAGGTACATAAAGATATTCTTAGACTTCAGACTAGGTACAAAAAAAAAGTCTGAACGGACTCTGAATCATACTACAAAGTCTGATATCTAGGGCCCTGGTGAGCATGGGCTGCTGGGGAATCTGGATGGACTGACTCAAGTGATCGTCTACTGAATTGGATCGGGAGGCAGGTTATTTGCGGATGCTGCCTGTTACGGTATGATGAGGCACCTCAGGAACCGCCACACAGCTGGGCATGGACTCAAGTGGTCATCTACGGATAGGATCTGGGGGTAGATTGTAGCGGGTGATGCGGATGCTGCCTGCGTTCTGCTCTTGCCACCCCACTCCTCTCTCCTGCAAGTACCGGTGCACCTGAGAGGCATGCACGAGCAGTGCCAGCAGTGGGATGGTGAAGGCTTCAAATTGAGAGCTCTATGTGCGTCATACGCACGTGCAGCAGAGCTCTATGTGCGTTATACGCTGTCGCATCAGAGACATCACATCTAACCCAAAAGCAAGAGCCTCACAGCCAGAACTCTACCCATCCCTTTCCAGACTGGGGATAATTTAGTGCAGTGAACCCCTCCCACTCTCCGCCGCCCCCTCCGTCCCTTCTCCCTTCCCCCAACCTTACCGCCGGTTTGATTTTGGCTTGCCCAAAAGTGGTGTGCTTGCCTCTACCAGTGATGACCGTCATGCTGCTCAGAGCTGCTCACAGCAGCAAGACACCATGCATGCAGCAGAGCATTCATACAGCACCCCAGCACCCATGCATGCACACACCTCACACACACACACCCCAGACAAGCACCCACCGAGTCACAGTCACCAGCATCAAGCACCAACCCCCCACACACCAAGTCTCTGGGAAAAGGTTCCTGGCACAGCGTGAAGGAGCTTGGGAAGGGAAAGGACCAGAGAGAAGCGTGAAGAGCAGATGCAGAGAGACCGGAGAGACGGAGGGGTGGAGAGGGGTGCTGCGGGTTGTCGGTACGCCGCAGAGTGTTATGACGAGGAAAGGTGATGAGGAAAGGCAAGAGGAGAGTGGCACTGGGTAGTGCGAGTGGCAGATGAGATGTGATGAAAACGAGGAGGGAAGAGGAGCGTGGGACGATGCAAGCAGGGAGGGGACTGACTAGGAAGGTGTCATTTGAGTTGACTCTAGACGCACATAAGGATGGGCAAGCGGGGAGCGGGGGGACTGACTGGGGAGGGTTTGCAGGAGAGTGAGGTGCAGGTGCAGGTGGTACAATGCCTCGTCCACATGCAGGTGGTGCAGATCCACATCCATGTTGTTTCCCAGCCGCTCGTTGCTGCGCACGCACAGGCACGGGTAGAGGCACGCAAAGGCAGAGAAAGAAGTGTGCAAAGACGATTGCAGGTGGTGCAGTGCCTCGTCCATGCTGTTGCCCCGGCGCTCGTTGCTGCGCGCACCGTGCACAGCACAGGCATGGGCACGCACAAGGACAGGCATGTGCAGGCACAGGGACCGGCACAGGCATGGGCATGGGCACGCACAAGGACAGGCATGTGCAGGCACAGGGACCGGCACAGGCATGGGCATGGGCACGCACACGCACATGCACAGGCACCCAAAGCAAATGCGGTGAAAATCAACCTCATGGTTACACTTGGGAGATCGGAGCAAGCTAGCGTCATCAGCTACGGGGGAAGCAAAAGCACAAAGCACCAAGACGAAAGCTGATAAATGTGGGCAGGAGCAGCAAGGGTGCTTGCTTACTTCTCCCTGAATATACGTTGCCCTGCTGCCTGCATGAGCTCGTGATACTCCTCTCGATACTCGTGTCCCTGGATGGAGGACGGAGGGAGGGAGGAAAGGTTTGACCAAGAAGCCACAGATAAGGCACAACGGAAGGGGAACCTCGTGATACTCCTTCCGATACTTGTGACCCTAGAAGGGGGACGGAGGGAGGCAGTCACAGAGAGAGGGTTTGACCAACAGGCCACAATTGAGCTACATCAGAAGGTTTTAGCCATGAGCGAGGGTTTGGCCATGGCAGAAGGGACGAGGATGAAGCTTTGGGGCAGAAGTACAGACGCAAGGGCGGAGAGATTGGGCAGACATGCATGGGTTGCTGTGTGCAAAACATGCTCGGCTTGCTTGCTATGCAAGAAGCAAAGGCCTGGCGCTGCTCCCATTTCAGCATCGACCATTCAGCATGCCTGACCTGCACTTAGTGCTCTGCCAAATCGCTGCACCCTATGGCAACTCAACTTGATGTTCAAGACCAGTCCCCTCCCCACATGTCAAGAAACGCCCACCTCTCGGAAGTAATACTGCCTCATCCTCCTCCTCTCCAACGCCGCCTCGCGATGCCGCTTGTAGCAATCGGAGGACTTGAGGGGAGGAGAGACGGGACGGCCCCCTAGTGCAGCAGCAGCAGGAGCAGGCAATGGATGTGACACCCACACCTACGCACAATAGCGCTTCCATTTCCCCGCACACACACAAGCACACCAC